AATTCAAATGTGTCTTTTCCCTTCCATCCCGTTATCGTTCCTCTTCTGCCTCCTCTTCCTTCTTCTTTTTTTGGTACAGGAAAATGAACTCAGTGCTTTAATACTGAGTTACATCCCAACCCTTTTATAATTATTTTTTGAGGTAGGATTTTTTTTTAACTATTAAAGCTGGCCTCAAATTTGTAATCCCCCTACCTCAGCCTCCCAAATCACTGTGATCACAGGCATGTGCCACCACACACAGCTGGTATCACCCTTTAGTTCATGTAGTTCATGTTATCAAACATCTTTCTTTGATATATCTTCGCAAATGGCCTTCTTGACATCTTGCTTGTCTCCCAAATCTATAGGCCAGTTTCTAGAGTAATTTAAAGGTTCATCTAAGGGATGAACAATGGCTTATCATCTCCAGGATATGTACTGTTTACTCTGCTAAGTACCTTTTGCTTATCATTTAAGACTTGGTGTAAATGTCACCTTCAAACACACCTACTGGTTAAGATGGTTTTCTTTTCCTTTGGAATCAACAGAATTGTAATGAACACAATGTAATTACTTGTTCACATTTCTGTCTTGGGGTTTCACAAAAGTTACATTATGAATTATTAATCATCTATCATCTACTAAAGTTAGTTTTGAGTGAATATTTTTGAGTTCAAGACACCAATTACAGACATCTAAAGAGAAGGAAGAGAGCAAAATGTTGAAAAAGTATTCCATCTGAGATGTGATATGCCTTCACAATCCTCAGTAACATTGGAAAGCATGTGTGACAAAGCATTCAACTAATTAATGTGAGAGGTAATCATTTGTACATCACTGAGTATTGAAGGTCTGTGACACAAAAGAGCCAATGTTGTGTCTTTGAACATGTAGATTCATATTTTAATATTATGTCCTTTAATGACTGCTTGCTTCTACCTTCATCCCTACTCTCACATAGAATGTACTTAAAGCAAAAATAATAATAATAAAAAAAAATAACCAAACCGATTTTCTTTTTGGTACTGAGGATTGAACCTAGAGGTGTTCTCCCCCACTGAGCTACATACCCAATTATTTTCCTTTTTTATTTTGAAACAGGGTCTCTCACTAAGTTGTTGAAACTGGTCTTGCAAAGCTGTTGAGGCTGCCCCCCCTAAATTTGTGATTATCCTTCTTCAGCTTTCTAAGTTGCTGGGGATATAGGCAAGTGCCACCATGCCAAAGTTCAAAGTGATCTTTGTAAAGCCAAATCATGCCACAGCTATGCTCAAATCAAGTACCAACATCCCCTTACAGTGGCCTACAAGACCTGCGTGAGCTCTACATCACCTCTGTGACTCAGGGTCTATTCACCTCCCTATTGCTCACTCTCCTTCAGTTACTCCATCCCTCCACTGTTGTTCTAGAAGTATACAGCGCACTCCTACCTCAGAAGCTTTTGGCATCTACTGCTTCCAATGTCCAGAAAGTTGCCTCATCTTGTCATGTGGCCTATTCTTTCTTTTCAACTTTCGCTTTCTTGGTGACCTTCTTAGTGAGATCTTCTATAACTAGCTCTTTAAAATTGTGATGTCTCTCTGCAAGTAATCCCTCTTGTATTTTTCCCTTTACACTACCTGGTGCATGAAATATTGTTATTTATTAATAGTAGTATTGTCCTCCAGAATATAACTTCTATGAAAGCAGGATAGAGAAGCATTTGATTAATGCATTTTAATTGATGAACTAAACGTTCTTGTAGTTAAAAATCAAAGAAAGTAAGCTAAAATACTCTTGAGTTTTATATCTACACAAGCTCAAATAATACAGCACATTTATTGTGACACAGATGCCTCCTTCTACCAATAGGCACAGAGTAGAAGCTTGAAAGACACTTTAAGAATAGAGATCCACTGGCATATAACACTCTTTCAAGGCATCATAGCTTAAAGTGGAGCTGTTCAATTATGCACAAGTTCTCAGACATTTAGACATGAGGAATAGTGCCCTYGTCACCAATGTCACAGCAGCAGGTTTCACTAAACTCCAGTGAAGAAACACAGATATGATGACCAAGCTAGTACCAGAAGCATTTTTCAAAGTCAGATTCCAGACCTTTATTATGAACAGTTTTCCATTTGTTCCCTGCCCCAAAGCATCTGAAACTGCATTTGGAAAGCTGATCTTGGAAGGTTTTGTGGTTTAATAGAATAAAAATAGAGGCCTGGATCTGAATGTTTTTTACAAGCTGTGAGTAACCAGAAAAATTATTAAATATTGTGCATCTCAGTTGTAAACCAAAAATAATTAGAATGAAATGGTATATTCTGTAAAAAGCACATGGCACAGTTCTTGATACTTAGAAAATGAATGAATGTAAATTAGCATAGCCTTGGAGTCAGGAGTATTTGAGTTCAAACCTCAGGGGTATTACTGACTTTGTGTATAAGTTATGACATTGAATTTTAGTTCTGCATGGGTAAGATGGGGATAATTATATCTACTATTCAGTTGTGACAGAGAGGGACAGGGCAAGGCACCTACAACAGTTTCTGTTGCAACAGGGACATATTAAAGAATAGCCTCTTCTATCAAAACTATTAAGTATCTTTTCCCTCAGGATATTTATAGCCCCTAATATATTTATATTTATTTAATATATCATAGCAACTATAACATCATAATTAACCAGGTCATCCAGTCAAGGGAAGATACATAGAAATATAGCTAAACATCGTACATAGAAAATCAAAGTACATACAAAATCAAACTTTCAAAAGTATTTACGCAAATAATAAATACATAGAGACTGTGTTCAATATTTTGTATTTAGAGAAGCAGGAAGCTATAAGTGCATATTTGAGAGAACTGCTTCATTTTAGAGTTTATAAACTAGATAACTAAGTTTTTAGATGCTTTCCAACAATTTGGTTATATAGAGTTTCCAGAGATTAAGCAAAAATTTTGTCCACAAGAATATGTTGTTTCTGGATAATTTCAGAGGGCCAAGTCCAATAGGCACAGAGTAGAAGCTTGAAACGGGCAGGAACCCTACAATCAAACATTCTAACCCAATAAGGGGAAGATGCGTATACTCTATGGTCTGAAAATTAATGATTTATGGTTTGTAGCATCATTCTTTTCTGCCTTGATGAACATTTTCAGGGGTACTCTTGAACAAACTTCCCATAGGAGGTAAGAATCGGGTTAGGTGAGCTTAGCCTTTATAAAGATCTAGATTTTATAATGTGACTACCTTATATATGTCTCATAGTAAACGAGGCATAGAAATGAAAATAAATGCAAAATGGTTTTTAAATAAAACTCAGGACTCCCTTGAAAAATCATTCTGCTTTGAAGATACATCATATTCAGCCTTTGATGAAGTCAGAAATTTGTGATTTGTATTGTTTTAGTTTGTGAATAATTCAATACATATAATACTATGTCTATAGAAACCCTGAATTGTGTAATTATTATATAACTTTTATGCAGAGAGTTGATATGAATTTATCAGTCAGGGAAACTTGAATGCAGTTTAAACAGTGACTAGGAATTATGGAAAAGGAGAACAGATTATATCAACAATATGAAAAAAGAAGCTGATAATTCAACATTGATGGATGCAGCATGTCAAAATGATTTGGTAAAGATTTCCAAATGAGGCAGATTATGGTGAGCCCAAAATTAGAAACAGAACATACTGAATGAAGAAACCCACTGATGAAAGAATTACTTCTCTGTCTTCTGAATCCATTCAACAGGAGAAACTATGGAATATTCCCAGATCCTATCCTGCCAAGTGAGTTATACTGGAATTTTAAAAACCATTTCACCTCAGATTTGTGAAATGGAAAATACTTTAACACTAAATGAACAATTTAATTTAGCACAATATGGTATAACATTTTTGGATATATATTTATTCTTATGATGTCATGAAAATGTAGGAGAATTTTCCTTTCCTGGTTGAATTTCTATAATGTCTCCAATAGGCTTTGTTATGGTGAGCTATCTTTTTCTCTAATGACTATCCCAGGGATGTAGGATTTACAAATTTAGTCATCTCCAAAAATGTACTACTATGAGTGTAGACCAAAATCATTTTGTATTTTTAGTTTAGCCAAAGGCTATAAAAAATGATTTTTTTGAAATTAGTAATTTGGGCTTCTAATGATAAGTGTTTAATCACCCATGCTAAAATGAAGTAGTAATTTCCACTGCTTCACTATCAGATGCACACTTTTTGATCTTCCCTGGGTCCTATGACATGTCACTAGAAGCCCTTTCCCTTACTCAGCTTGCAAACTTTCTACTTAGAAGGAGCCTTTTCTCCAATATTCATCACGATATATTTCCCTCATATAGATAAATGTTCTTCTACTTGCTATTTTGTAATTCTACTTTTTTGAAAACTGAGCTCAGATAGGTGCAGAGGCACACACCTGTAATCCCAGCAGCTCTGGGGGTTGAGACAGGAGGATTGTGAGTTCAAAGCCAGCCTCAGCAATAACGAAGCACTGAGCAACTCAGTGAGGCCCTGTCTCTAAATAAAATACAAAGTAGGGCTGGGGATATGGCTCAGTGATCAGGTGCCCCTGACTTGAATCCCTAGTACTCCACCCCCCCCCCAAAAAAAATGAGTTTATAGCCCAAATCACCTTCCCTGACTGCCTTGTGCCCTGGGTCTCTCCTTCCACATAGCCAGCTCCTTCCACACATTATTTTATCCAGTAACTGCCAGCACATTGATCCATACATCTGCCTTAATGCCTCCTGTCCCTCCATCTCTAAAGCACCTGAGTATTTCTTTTCCCATCATATAGATTATGTTGGAAAACTTCCTCCATCACTAAAACTACTTAAATTCATGAAAGAGCTGATGCTTTGCCTTTCTTGCTAGTAGACAAGAATGCTTCTATTAATGTCTCATACATGTGATTTACAGCTTTATTATTCAACCTGTTTAATGTTGATGCTGTTATTGTTTTAAACTTTTTAATCATATTTTGACACCAAGTGTAGCTATGAATTACCTCCTCTTTTCTTGTTTCACGTCCTTTCTGTACAAACCAGATGACTTTTGCTTGTAAAGATCGTGGGGTACACTCCAACAAAGTACTGTTGTTCTCTATGCCATAAGCCAGTCGCTCTTCAGTTTTATCCAAAGCATCTCCTACAACAGGAATGTTAATACCAAACTTAAGACTTGATGTTACTGGTAAATAATTTAAAAAAATATTATTTAATCAAATCCTTGAAACAACATGAGTAACTAATTACCTACTGGATTTATGTAGGAAAATAAATTTTTTTAGACAGTGACATGCCAAAATCTAGGCATTAAAAAGGCAAGCAAGCAAAAGGAGACAACTGGGAATTTGGTTTCAAAATGATGGGAGAATAAAGACAATAAGAAGGTCCATCAATGTTAAACTCATAGGAAATCAACCGCAGCATTTATTGATATGGCAGAAAAAGAATGTGAACACCATGTGTTCTAGCAAGGCATAAAACCAAATTCATGGCTACAAACAAAAGCAGAATTCAGAAATCTTGAGTGATCTGGCACTACATAATCACAAGTGTAAGGGATATCCTGGCAAGGGTTCGTACCCAGGTGTTGGGCGTCTTTGCAAGAAAAGGTACAAAACTGAACTAAGGCCTTTACAAACCAGAGCTTCTTGATTATATTCTATGTCTTGGATCAGAACAATTCTCTCAAGATTTGAACTCACACCTGCATGCAGTAAAGTGTACTTACCTGCAGTAGAGAATAAAAGGAAATAAATTTTTTTGTTTGTTTGTTTTAACCAAGATGAATTCAATTCAATAGCTAGATCCCAGCATTTTCCCCTATACCTGAATCCTCTCACCTTCAAAACTGATCCCTAAATTTTCCTAAGGTAAAGCCATGTCTTCTTCTCTTGCCAGTGTTCCTAGGACTTGAGTCTCCCCCCACACACACATGGATCTTTTTCTTTATTTATAAAATCATAAAGAGACTATCATAAAAATCCAGCTAGATGGTCTCATCTCTGTGAGTCCCACTATTTGAAGCAGGATCCAAAGGGAAGGTATCATTTTATGTCCTGGCAGAGAGGTCTCCTCTTTTTTATGCTGCCAACACTGTATCCTCAAACCTGTATTCCAGGAACTGTGCCTATGATGTGTCATGGCCAAGAAATCATTGTTGGAAAAAAGCGCACTTGGACATAGCTCCCTGATGACTCCTTATTCAGGGACCACCACATGGTTCCTTTAGCAGCATGTCCATTATTCTAATTCCCTTCTGTGCTCCCTGTCTTAAGAATGCTGCACTGACTTTTAAGTCAACCTGGTTCTAGGTTGTGCTGGACCACATCTCTGAGGGTAGATAGAGCCACTACTGAGCTCCCAATCACAGTGCCTCTTCTTCCTGGTGAATACAGCAATAGGAAAATACAGCCTGTTCATCATCCATCATGATGTGAAGAGCAGGAAAGTGTTTTTTCTGTCTTGTTTAACTTCCTTGCAAGCTGAAATTTCCTCTCATCCTTAACCCACTAGACCTCCAACCTTCATAGACCACCAATACCAGTTCTCGGATTATTCTACTCTAGGAAAAGTTTTCCTCTTTGTTCCAAATCTTCGTAGGTAAATTGATTCAAGTTGTATCACATTTGATAAAATAAGTTATGAAATTAAGAGATGAATCCTGCAAATCATTGTGCCAGCAGCCACATAAATTAGACTACATTCTTTTTCTAGGATTCCCCTAGCTTTGAGGTCTACTGTCAAGTATTCATTCAGATGAAATTTATTTTTTAATTATGAAAAAAATCATATATCAAGTCCACAAAATTATTACTTCATGGAAGAAAACAAAAGCTTTCAACAACATTTTTCTAGTACATACAAAATCACAAAGAAAGAGACTCATTTTAAGAAATGTGCAGTTATCATCAATAAACACTCCAAGTTACTCATAACAATTGATTTTTTTTATGGATTACCAACAAACTGCTGTCCAAAACATTGCTGAGCTGCATTTCCATGCCGCACATCTTGTCTGCGGAACCGTCTGAAAGAAAGAAAATGCATTTTAGATGATGTTCAGATTTCAATTTTCCAGATTTTAAAATATACTCAGCTACATTAAAGATTCAAGGAGTATTCTGCTATTGAAAACCTGATCAGTCATATGAAACAAGCATAACATCCAAGTTTCATCTTTCTAATTTCTCCACTAAATATTTTTCAATAGTTGACATTCATCTAATACTATTTTTTAAACATCTACATAGCTTGAATTCTGGTTCCCTAAATAATAATTTAACAAATTTCTCTTTAAATTTTGTTAAAATTTTAATTCAACAAGAAGCCTTTGGTTGAAAGGGGTGTCTTGGGTGGCAAGGGATATGTGTAGATAGGTCAATAGGATTTGAGTCAGAATATTTGAGTAAAAACTATCATAAAACACTTACATTTAATAAAGTTTATGTGAAAACTGACATTTGAATTGAGATATTTTATTCTAGTGCCATAATGATGAATTGGCACAAATAGTTTCTAGCAAAATGAGATAAATTCATAATATACTTAATTTACTCATTTATTCATATACAATAGAAAGTACATGCCTCTATTCAATAGGCTTGTGTGTTATACATGTCTAACTGTATACTGTGCATCTAACATGATTAAAAACAATTAGGGCTTTTTTTCCTTCAATATACCTATTAGAACTAGGATCACTTCTAATATATCTTCTTATTGTACAAATTGTTCAGATATATAACTAAAATGAGCACAACACTGTAAATTCATGGAAAATATTTCCAGGCTTGCCTGACTTGTTTACAGACCCTAACACAGGCTTTATATCAGGTTTAAATTTTTAAGCATCTTTCTAAGTCATTAAACAATGGAAATTATCATTGTGAGTAGTAGAATTCTAAAATCAAGAGCTATGGTATATTTGAAAGATTCAAATTAGAGATTAAAATAGAAATATTAAAGGAACGTGGAAAATACCACTTGCTTCACATCATGGAGCTTTTTCAGGATTGAGGGAAAAACAGAAGGCAAAGCAGGAGCTTTCCCAGAGGGTAATGGTAAAGCTTGTAAAGTCACAATGAGATGTCTCAACAACATGCAGTGGTAAGATGCAGGCGAGTGAACCAGAGTCACATCCCAGTGCCACCACCAACACATGTACCACGTGTATGTGTCTCTTCCCTTTCCCCACCCTTTGTGTTCTGGCTTTTAAAATGGAGTTGGCTAAAGGACACCTAAAATCCATTGCCATCTCAATTTTATTTTGCTCTGGAGCATTATAAGAGCAAGGGAGAGAAAAAGTCATAGGTTTATAGATTGCAGTGCATTTTGTAACACTGCTCAAATAGGTGTTTTGGTTGGTGAATTAATTATAATGGATGCTATTTCAAGAGATGAAGTGCTTTCTCACATAAGAGTTCTGATCTTTTTAACAACTTAACACATATCAAAAGCTAGGGTGGATAAACATTTCCAATCAAATTTCAGGATTAGGAACTACAACAAGACCATACGATGTTTTGTTTTAAATAAAGAGACTGGTGATTAGAAAACCTTACCTAAAGGCCTGAAATTTTACAAAGACCAAAAAGTGCCATGTTGAACATTCTATTGAGCTAGACTGAACAAAATAACTTAGAAAAACAATAAAAACTGAAGTAGAAAGTTTTATGCTATTATTCCTACTAGTATAATTACTATACAACTGACAGCAGATCTAGATAAAAATTAAACTACTGTTGCTAATTCCTTATTCATTGAGTATTACTTCAGTATTTGGAATCTAAATCTCACTGAACAATAATAAATAATAGAGCAGGGTAAAAAAATGAAATGGGAAATAGTTTTCATTTTTTATAGATGTGTTAAATCAATATTATTATTCTAGTGATTGAGAATAAAGAGACCAGCAATCATAATTCTCAAGCAATTTGAGTATTAAGTATGCAATAATTGTTTAAAATCATAGCAAACATTTATGTTTTTTAAGAAAAGACATATCCTCCAACAAGGTTTAATTTCATTTTATATAATCCCAATATAATTGTTCCTTATTTCAACATTTTAAAAAATGCGTGGATTTGTATCAGGAGTTCAAGAATGAGCAAAGTTGCTTTTCATTCCCAACGTTGCATATTTTTCTTATATCTCTAGCCTTACAGAAACTTTTAAAGAGAACACTGGAAACAGACAAGATGTAAAAGCAAAGGCGGTAAAGAGACAGAGCTTTATAAATTATGGTGGATTTTGGAAGACCATTTTAAACAAGTGGTTTGGATTGTGAATTAATGTTTTTCCCCTGTTGACTCATTTTCACTTTGTGAGCAAAAAGTATTTATTTTAATGACTGGTTTTCAATTTCGGCTCTATTCAGGTCTGAAGCAAAAATGATCTGTTATAAAAGCAAACTATTTTCCCATCATGTGCTGGAATTTATCCAAAAAAATTCTCCTTCAGGGGTGGGTGATGGTTCAAAAGAACCCTAACCACTGAAAGATCTCTATTACGTGTCTGAACTGAACTAACTCATTTATGAGCATGGCTGCTGACTGCAATCCATTACTTTTCTACTATTTGTCTATTCCTTTCACTTTTTCTAAGTTTCTTTATCCTTTTTAAAATATTACCATCCTTGTGGCTGTACAATCTTAAGATGCACCATATACCAAAAATTGTTCATCTATGGAACAGCTCAGTTAAAATTCACCATCACTCATACAAAACCTTGTTATTAAAAGCATTTGGTGCAAGGCTTATAAACATTTTTTATTGTTGCTAAACAATAAAGTAATTAGTTTTAGTAACTTTGTAAAATTGCTTTTCCTAGGGGGACTGCAGGAACAATAATGGACCATGTGTTTTGAAAAAAAAGAAAACAATTTTTAATCTTTCCACCATGAAGAATGGCAACTGAGGCGATAGATGTGTTCTCTCTGATTTAATCATATATAATATATATGTGTTCAAACATCATATGATAACCCATAAATATGTACAACTTATGTTTTTATGTATCAGTTAAAATAAATTTAAATAAAGATAAAAATATTCACTAGTATTAAATACTTTTTACAAATTACTTTTTCACCCTGGAGTTCTACTTTTTCATTCCTGAATCGTGGAATTGCATGGCTTTCCCTGAGCATCTATGCAAAGGCACAGACAATTGTTCCTTATATTTCTACCTTCAAGACTGACCTTAAAGACTGGATTATTTTGAGAACTGAATAAAATATTTTATTGCTGCACTAGGCCTGGAAGCTGACATGTTCAGTTGTGAGCTACTACATGGTTATTTTCAGTTCAATCCTTGAACTTAGATTCTGATTTATAGTAGACAAGGGCCAGTGAATGTTTCTTTGTAGCCCKTGTTACATGGTACCATAATAAATCACTAAAAAACATTTTCAAATATGGGTATATTTCTTAAAGAATTGTTTTCAAATATCAACATGCATTTTATAAAATCAATTAATTTGCTCAATCTTTTTTTTTTTTTTTGTACCAGGTGTTAAACCCAGTGGCGTTTTACCACTGAGCCATATCCCCAGTTTTTTCTTTCTTTCTTTTTCAATTATTTTAAATTTTGAGACATGGACTTGCTAAATTGCTAAGGCTGGCCTTAAACTTGTGATCCTCCTACCTCAGTCTCCTGAGTCAGGGGGATTTAATTTGCTCAAGTTTTTAATATTATTGGCAAATTATTTAGTTCATAAATGTCCTTTGAAAACCTCATTTCACTATTGGCTTATCATGTCTTTTAATACTTATTGGACTCTTCATTTGGCTCAGGTCAAATTAACAAATTTTTTAGTTAATGGAGTTTTTAAATGAAATTCTACTCTATGTATAAACCTATAAGAAATAATTACACTAAACTGGGTTAAATTAAATCTGAAAAGTGTTTTTTTTTAAAGCAACCCAAAGTTAAGTAGTAAGAACAAATGAAATTAATACAAACTATTTTTCAGTGGGGAAATTTTATATAGTCCTATGTTTTGTTTTACTTTGTGTTTGGTCACTTTGTCGTGAGAAAAAAACACTGTTTATTCTATAAGAAATAAAAATATTTTTCTTTATTTACCAAAAGTGAACACGATTTCATATGGCTTGAGTGAAGAAAAAAAAAAAAACACTTTATTTTCAAAGTACTTTCTGAACCTAGAGTTCTCTTGTTAAAAGAATCCTGGATTTACCTTCTCTAATAAATGCCAATGACCTCATGAATTGCAAACCTTGGAGTTTGGAGGTCTTTAAGTACCTTTCATTTGTGTTGAATTAAATCACACATTTCATTAATTATACAGGTCATGCATTTGCCTAGGAGTTAAAATATTCACTTTCAAAATGAAATAAATGAAGACCAGCTGGTAGAGAAGACTTGCAGGATGTATTTCAGAACTTATTTATTTATTTTCTTTTTAAGTCTTTGAATCCTTCAAGAGTCCTGGCCTGCCATTTCCACATTTTAAATTTGTCTAAATTTCTTTCATGTCTTCCAGCAAAAATTTTAGGAAAGGGAAGAGTTGATTCAAACCCAGGTGGAAAAATAAAAGTCCAAAAGCCTATTCAGCTCCAATACGTATACACAATAATACATGAAAGTCATTTTCAGGAAAATTTCAAGTATTATATTATGATCAAAATATATCTATGATTTATTTAAATAAAAATATCATGGTTATTTTCATGGAATAGGTACAAAAAAGACCAAATAAGCGTTAGCATTTTTCTGAACAAAAGAATCACCCCATTGAGAAACATGTCTCACCTTTTTGCATGTGTGCCTGTTGGGTAATACCGGGAACAGGATATGCCATCCCAGGCACAGTAAGGGTCTCGAGCTAGACAGCAGTCAGCACAAGCACTTCCGTACATGTCACAATGATGGAACCTGACTTGAGCCACAGCAGAAGAAGATCCAATATACAGCTGTTGCTATGGAAAGCAGAGAGAAACCACTAGCRGAAATGAACAACACTTAAACTGAACTATTATAACCAAATTTCCAAATTAAACACAGACACTCCAGTAAAAGCCCAGCAATTGCTCAGGATAGATAATGGAAAATCACCACTTTCATTTTTCCATAATTTGAAATACTTTTACAGAATTAAATGCAGGAGTAATAAAATTGCTAGACTCAGCTTGACAAGAGCTCAAAAAACTGTCTGTTCTTTTATTGGTTATCTAAGCAGAAAGACTCTTGCATTATCTAACACTCTAGGTCTCCTTTTAAAGATCTATAAGAGCATCCAATAAGAGATTATATAAATAGTCTTTCAAATATTGACATAAACATTTAGAAGAGTGATTTGTCTGTGTGTGTGTGCATCTGTGTGTTTGTAATGATAAAAATAGTTGTAAAATACACTAAAAAAAAGGACTACCAGTAGCACACTTAATGTAATATGTTCCTGTTTGCTAAACATGAAGAATTATTGATAAATAAATTTGAGACAATATATGCAACAACAGTTTCTAAAGAAGTTCACATCAAAAATTGATTCCAATGAAGAGAAGGAAAGAAGAATTTCACTACACAGTTGTGTGTTATTATTACCATTATTTCTGAAAAAAAATTAGTGAAAAATAACTAGGGAATAATGTTTTATCATAAATGGGCATGAAGTTTCAGTCAAGCAAGATGTGTAAGCTCAACAGATTTGTTGTATATCACTGTGCTTATGGTCAACAACAGTGTATTTTTAAAAGTCACTAAGAGAATCAATCTCTTGTTACATGTTCTTACCACAACAAAATAAAATAATTAAGGGAGAAAACTGCAGCTCATTCATATAGATGAAAAGTACTAATGTTCTTACATCCTTTGGCCTCAACTAATTTACAGAACCAATTTACAGAACTCACACACACACACATATGCACACATACAACTTACTCTCTTGGAAGAAATCTCCATAGAAATAATTGGAACTGGATCCTGAAAAAAAAAAATCTTTTTTAAGAAAGGAAATCACAGAATATCTACCTTAACATGGTTGTAAATCACCTGAAATCAAATAAGGCATATGAGTGGTTCTATTCCTAGCAAACTACAGCTTTCATTTTATAAATTAGATGTAAATTCAAATAAACTAAAATTCAAGTTTTTAATTTTTTCTTGGATAGGAATAGATATACAGATGAGGGGAAAAAAAGCAGTGAATAATCTAATCAGTTCACTGTCTCTGGAATGTACTTTTTGCATGTGCAGTTGAATACTATTCGTGCTTTCTAATTCTTGTATTCTTAATTAAAATAACGAAGTCAGAGTGTTCTTGAACCATTAAAAGTGAAATAGTTATATTCTAGAGTACTTGTTATTACTAGTAAACCATACGATCTTTAATTATTTTAACCCAAGCCTAAACAAAACACTTTCTGTTGGAGTGATCATGGTGAATCAGTATGAATCCTGGATTCTTAGAACAAGATGAATAACCTCATTTTCTTAGAATTGCACCAAAGGAAGGGATGACATGTAGCATAGCTTTAAGAGTCAGCATGTGGTATTAGCTATCTTGATTCAGAGCATCTTTAAGGAACATGACAAATTTCAATCAGTTCTCTAAGTGGAGATATAATAGGCAGACAGAATTACCTCAGGATAGTTACACTTTTTAGAATTATTTTTTGAAATATTTGATACTTTATATCAGTGGATTTAAAAAAATATTTTAAGCCACAAAACGCTTTATACATGAGTGTATCGTTCATTTATTCATTCAGAAAATGATGTTTCTGAAGAGTTTATATGAAAAGACGTGGCAGTGTATGCTCTTGATATGAGAGCTATAGACCTATCATGAAATCAATCCTACACAGAGGCTTAAAATACAAAATAAACAAAAGCAAAGTTCCTCTGGGTAACTTAGTGTGGGGCACTGGGGGAATCTGGTCTCCAGACAGCCAAGGTAAAATGTACTACTATTAATAAAGTGTTTTCACATATATCTATCATCTACATATATGGATGAGTCTTATCATCTGTATATTCTCTGTGTGCAAATCCACTTACTATTAAATTAATTGTAATCCCAATATCAACAACTTGCTGTGGCTCTCATTTGAGGACATGCAGATGCACATTTTGCAGATGATGCACTTATCAGCTGAAATCAAGTTTCAGCACCCAGGATGTAAACAAGTGTCCTTCACACTAACTATTTAGTGACAATTCTTTACATCCTGTTTTTTGTTAGTACTTTGCTGTATAAAATGACCTCCAAGCCTAGAGCTGAAGTGCCTTTTATAGTTTCTAAACTCAAAAAGGCTACATTGCATCTTAATGTAGAAAATGTTTTCATATGATAACCTTCATTCAGTGAATTATAGTGCTGTTGACTGTAAACTCAGTTATTAATTAATCAACTAAGTATATAAATGGAAAGATGTGTTTTAACAGGAACACACATAAACAAGTTTATCTATTGATCACTTGAAAATATTATAATCAGAAATTTGCAGGAACCTAACTCTGTATTTCCCTGAGAAGCAATGGTGACCTTAAAGACCATAACTGCTGAGAAAAATGAGACCTTCCAAAGTGTATTTATATAATATATATAATTTTATATTTATATAATATATATAATATAATTTATATAATATATATATAATTTTTAGTCCTGTATAATTTTCAGATTATTATTTTCTATTTTTAGTAAATTATATGTGTAGTTAATACACAATAATTAAAAGCAGTGTGCTTTTCTAGCCACAATGTCCACAATATAAAAACATATTATTTTTTGTCAGTATTGATAGTTCATTTGTACAAGATGTGACTTTGCAATTGTCAATCTAAAGTTCCTGTGTAGTATGTTATTTTTTATAGTAGCAGTTTTTATATTAAAATTATTTTTATTCTACATGAAGACAGGTCTCTTCTTTTGAAATGTCTATGACAATGAAATACCAGAGGCATTAGAAATTCAAATCATTCCTCACTGTTATGAATTCATAGCACACTTATTAGGTAAAAAATGGACATAACAGTTTTTCAACTTAATTCTAAATTGTAATTTTCTGCAGTACATAATCTTGGGTATATTATTTATTAAAAATACCTTGAATATCTGAAGTTCTTCTAGAATTACTTCTTCCATGGATTCTGTTTCTTGGTTGTAAATTGTGATGATTTTCAGGACAATTCCAGTATCTGTAAGAAAGCAAAAAAAGAAAAAAGAAATGAAAACAGATAAACTAGAAGAGTATGCCACAATTGATTTTCATACAGTTAAAACCACATGAAACTATAAATTCAAATAAGATGTGAAATCATAGATGCATTAAACATTTAATCACTGCAAGTTAAACACCATTTGACTACCTATATGCCCATATTGTAAATTAGTAAAATTAAGAATTTTATATGCCTGGCCAAAAGAATTCAAACAAACACTC